TAGATAGATAGATAGATAGATAGATAGATAGATAAAACTTTATTGTCTGTGAAGGGGGTCACAGAAATGTCCCTTTTGATATGGCTCATAGTACAAACAAATCATTAAATAAACACACAAAATATGAACAAACAGACCATAAAAACAACATTCCAACCTTTGGAAAAGGTAGAATGCCTTCTCCGGGTCAGGGACGAGGTATTTCCTCAAGTGGAGGAGTTTAAGTGTCTTGGCGTATTGAGGGAAAACTGGAGCGTGAGATGGATAGGCGGATTGGTGCTGCATCGGCAGTGATGCGGACGTTGTACCGGTCTGTCGTGGTGAAGAGGGAGCTGAGCCAGAAGGCAAAGCTCTCGATTTACTGGTCGATCTACGTTCCTACCCTCACCTATGGTCATGAGCTTTGGGTAGTGACCAAAAGAATGAAATTGCAGACACAAGCAGCCAAAATCAGTTTTCTCCACAGGGTGGCTGGGCTCTCCCTTAGAGATATGGTGAGAAGCTCCGTCATTCGGGAGGGGCTCAGTGTAGACCCGCTCTTCCTCCACATTGAGAGGAGCCAGTTGGGGGTGGCTCAGGCATCTGGTTAGGATCCCTCCTGACCTGGAGGCCTCCCTGGTGAGCTTTTCCAGGCACGTCCAATTGGGAGGAGACCCAAGGGAAGACCCAGGACATGCTGCAGGGACTATATCTCTTGGCTGGCCAGGAAACGCTTTGGGATTCCCCCAGAAGTGCTGGCCCAAGTAGCAGGGGAGAGGGCCTCTCGGCTTAAGCCGGGCGGACACTGGGCAAATTTTTTCACTTGTTGCCTTCAGCTTCAGCTCAAACTCCCCAGTGAGTCGTGGAGGATGGCTGCTTATACTGAGCCAGGATTCTCTGGAGGTTTCTTCCTGTTAAAAGGGAGTTTTCCTCTCCACTGTCGCTTTATGCTTGCTTGGTATGAGGATTGCTGTATAGTCACTGACACTAGTCAGTGACTTGATGCAATTTGCTGGGTTCCTTATATAGGAAACATTATTTCTGATTGGCTTAATGAACTGACCTGAATTGGAATCTTGTGAAGTGCCTTGAGACGACTCTTGTCGTGATTTGGCGCTATATAAATAAACTTGAATTGAATTGAATTGAAAACTGTAAGATTTCCCCGCAGAGCAAATCTCACGAGTCATGCGCTCACACTGTACGTCCCAGTTCTCGTATGCGACCTGACTGCTCACACTGTAGGCCTGGTCACATCGGGCCTAAAACTATGCTAAAAATAGCAGTTTTTACACAACACGTTTTTTTTGTGTTGTTATTTATGTCTCTTGTCCCTCTGGACTGCTGTGGGAGGACACGCAGGTATTTAAGGGGGTTGGATGAGGAAGATGAAGAAAGAAAGAAAGAAAGAAAGAAAGAAAGAAAGAAAATCAATGTTTTATCAGTTTAATTTGACATAAACACAGCAAACACACTTTTTGACAATCCTTGTTATTGTGTGCAAAAAAATTGCTGCCCCCTCAGCAAAAGCCTGTGTTAATAAATCATATTAATGTTCACTGAAACCCTAAATTGATCTTATTTATTCAAGACATGATTGCAAAACTAAATAAAAATAATACAATTAACGAGTAAAGAAATATTCAGAATTTAAAAAATGTATATGTTTCTGCTGCTCACCATTTTACAAAAGTTTTTATCTTCATAGTTGTTTGTGAACACAACAGGTGAATTAAACAAACAAACAAACAAAAGAATTTCAAAATAAATTTAGAAATAACATTTTAAATTACTGAAATGTATTTTTCTGAAATGTTTGTTTTTGTACATTTTAAGTGAAATGTTTTGGATATGTACAGTTTTTTTTTTATTCTTTTTAATATTTTTTAATGAAAATGAATAAAGGAGCAATGCAATTCACCACCACAGGCCAAACTCCCAGAGTTACCGCAAGGACCAATTTGGTGTGCCACCCCCAAACTTTCTTTGGACTGGTCTGGCCACCCCTATCCAAATTTTCTGGAGGCGCCCCTGTCTAGAACCCAAGGTCTTCATTCTTAATTTGTGTTTTTTCGCAGTCAAAGGTTATAATAACAGCTTATGGTTATGTGTACATGTACCTTTGTTATTATTTTCCTCAAATTATTGACTCTGATTATTGTGTCCATACAAATACAAGAAAACCTCTGTGAAAATTATTTTGATTATGTAGCTCTCAAATCATAAACACTGATCTGGAGTCTGTTAGGAAACAGTGCTAATTCGAGTACGTTAAAATTGTGTGCGTTCGTTTTGTAACATCAGTACCACACGTTTTTCCATCTCGGCTTTTTGACACCGCAGTCAGGAAGCTCCGCCCCAGCGTCACACGCGGGGCTGTGGCCTGCCTCTCGGACGGAGACGTGACGCCATTCTCTTTCGCTTGCTGTTGCTGTCCGTCTCGGTGTTATTCTGTTGACTATCACAGAACAAATAGCGTTTTAACTCATGTCATTTTAATCTCCGGCACTGAAGCAAAGCGGTAAGTAGTAACGCTGGTTACAGCTCTGCTATGCTAGTCTCCTGCTGCCCACTGTACACCTTTTATCTGAACCCTGCTATGCAGCTGGACCTGTTAGCGAGAGAATTTTAAATTAATTAGCAAGGTGCTAACGTATAAACAGAGCTAACATGGCGTCTCACTTAGGTTCATTAATTACACCGAGGCAGCGTGCAGTCATGTCGGTGTTGTGTAAGTTAAGGTTAAAGAAGGTGCCCTGCTATCGTCATTTGGAATCGTAGGATGTCCAAGGAAGGTCCCGCCTTTCTCGCCTCTGATTGGCTGGAAGGGCTCTCCCACGATTTAATTTAGCAGCATCCCGTTTTCCTCCAGACTGGCCTTGTTTTGTAAAGAAAGTGTGAATTTAGCGCTATAAAAAGTTTAGTTAAAAAAAAAACCGAGTACAAAAAGGCTGAGTTCCTAGGATAAACATAAAATAAATAAGGTGTAGATACGTTGTTTACCTACATTAGTAAAACCATAACCTGACAACTAACCATCTGTTCACCACAAACCTCTAGCTGTGTAATGCATAAAATACTAAAACAAACCTGAAACTTCTAATGAAATGTGTGTTTATTCTTGTTGGCAGAGCTGTAGAAAGAGAGTTGCGACACGCTTTGAACTCGCCGACTCGTGGTCACGTGGTTCATGGAGCGCTCAATAGTTCCTAACATCCCAGCGCCTTAAGTCAGTTTGAACGGCGTGGAACAAATCACAAAAATTGAATATTGTCACATTTCCCCTGGCTATTTTTGGTAATTATTGAATAATATTATATTATTTATTATGTCCTAACTCCTTCACAAAGTAACCTATTTATATTTTTCCGAGCATTTGTAGGAAGACAGACACCTGTGACTGTTCTACATTACAGGAACACGACAGTCCTAACACACTGTAGAACACATTTAGACCACATACATTACTATAATATATTATAGCAATAAATTTGATGTAGTAATGCAACACACTGCTCTAATATATGCACTTTAAGTCCTACAAGAATCCCTAAACTCGAGTTGTAACATCCTTTTTAAAGTGTTTATTGAAAGCTAGAATTCTGCTCCAGCTTACCTTGAAGAAAATATGTTGCTGTGATGATGATCTATTATGTTCAGTAGAATACATTTTACAATCATTACTTTATATTTTTATGTGAAGACAGTGCATGCATCTATAACCCAGTTTATCTTGCTTCTATAGCCTGACTAATGGCAACTAATTAAAAAGAAAGTTTCAATAAAACTGTATGGTCAAACACAGTAGATAAAAAGTGTTATTTGTGAAAAAATGAACACCAAACTTGTACAACATGTATAATAGCATGGTCAATAAAGCATTTTACCAACATTATGTTTAATCATTACATATGCACAAAAAAGCTGAATCATTAATTATGAGCAATGTACTCAAGACCTAATGAAACCCTTTTGAATAACTTTATTTTGATTATTATTAAAATAACATTTGTCTGTGGGTTAAAATTTGAAATGACTAATTTTAGGGTTGGATAAAAATTTTAAAATGTAATTTTACATCTCTATATTTTTGGTTCAGTTCAATATTTCTATATGTACAAAAATAGTATTTTAATAATCCCTTTATAGGTTGATTATCTTACCATGGTTGGCTGCGCTGCATATAGCAATCGGTCTGAGGGAGCAACCAGAATTACGGCTTCCCCAAAGACGCAGAGAGAAGAAGAAAATGGTTGGCTCAAGTCAGCAGGAGCAACCTCACCATGACCAGAGATCACAATAACAAAAAGCTGTGTGCAGTCAGTTTAATGTGCACTCTCAATGTTTTCTATCAAGGCTCTACTGGGCCATTCCCATCTGTACCGGGTCGGCCCGGGCCGGGTAGCCCCAGTTGGCCCCAGCCTGGCCCGGTTGATTACACACATCCTTGTCTTAAGCCCATGTGGGCTGATTCTACCCACCAATCAGAGGCTTGCTCTAATGGAAGGTGTGGATTTGCTGTCAGCAGTGGGTGTGTTGGCCCTGGTCGGCCTGAAGCAGACCCCCTCCAGAAGAGGGCTGAGAATGAGCCTTGGTTGGCCCGGAAAAATACCAGGCCACCCAGATATGTAAACAACCTACGCTACCCGGCCCGGGCCGACCCGGTACAGATGGGAATGGCCCATACATGTTCTGCTCTCAACTGCACAAGGCTGCAATTAACCTGTTAAATGTGGCAGGAAATAAACTAATACACCACTCTACAGGCACATTTTGAGGAGGGACCGTTTACTAAGACTAGGCAAGGCAAGGTGAGACTCAGGGCTGATGCTGTGTTTGTTCATCACCCTGAACCAAGGAGGAGGAAGGACCCCGCAGTGAGAAGTACAGCAGAACCACTGCATGTTGATCCACTGACCAGTGACCACACATGTTGTACTCAAGTAAACTGTGGTACAAATCTTTTGAAATATTAATACATTTGTATTTATTTTATTTAAAAATGATTCTTTACTCTAACAGTCCATTATAAATTCAGAGAATGAGGAAAGCAGCAGCAGCAGTGAGGCAAATGAGATGAGGGAAAGTGAGGGGGGGGCATGAGATGGTCTCAGGAGAGAGGGACATCCCAGGAAGCCACGAGGAGCGGGCGTCAGGGCCAGGAGGAGAAAGGAACAGGCTCTGAAAGCAGGGAACCCAGCTGGAAAACCTAAGGGAGGAAACAGAAAGTCAAAAAGACATGAAAAACACAAGAGGCATTAAATGGAGTAAACAGACAATCAAAAAGGCCGTACAGCTCCGTTTTTCAGTGGGTTCAACAGGCTGCAGGTGTCTTCAGGACACGAGTATCCCTCTGCCTGATGTTAGAACCCTGCACAGACAAATGCAGCCCGTTAACAGGAGCCAGGTGTGTTAGGAGAGGTGTGTGACATGCTCAGTTTGAAGGTTAAAAATCTGACAGAGATGGAAAGAGAGTGTGTGCTTACTGTGGATGAGATGGCAATCACTCCAGGCGTGCATCACTCCATCACAGACCCAACTGGGGTTTGCCACCACCGTTGTTCCTGGTCAGCTCTCCACTCAGCCACGATGAAAACATGAAGATGGACACACAACACAGTTTAACCTTTAATGGTTACATAAGATTTTTGTTTTAGTAACTCTTTGACATTTATTTATTGATAATTGTGTTATTGTTAATTCTTATTTCTTGTCATTCCTTAATAACAAAATTGCACATGCTAATATTATAAAGCAAGTGGAAATGAGCAGTTTTATGGAAAATGTCTAATTTTTAAAAGTTATTGTTCGACTACTATTCTTGTAATATCGTAATTTTATTCTTATTACTTGAGTCCACAAAACAGAACAACATATCTTCTTACGTTCGTAATCCTGTTTGTCTCATGCTTCAGCAGTTCGTTGCAGTCAGTGTTATTAACTGAAAAATATAAAATAATTACTTGTCTTCACAATCACATTTTCTTTATTATTGGTCTCTCCATTTGTGCTTCCATTTCTGATGCATGTTCGTGTTGATACAGCAACCAGCAACGTATTGTACAAATATTCCCAAATAAAACTAATGAGGTAAAAAGTTTATAACCTATTTCAAACTGTGGGGAATATTTTTAAAATGTAGAATCAAACAAACTGAAAGAAACCCGTCTACAGCTCGTCCTCCTGCTCACAACCAACAAGCTGCACACAATTAGCTCATTAAAGGTTATCTAGCTAAAACTGGCAACATAAAATATTTTGGTACGAAGCGGTTAGCTAACGCTTCACAATGCAACAAAATGTTGTCATTTCATCAACTTACCGGAGAAAATCCATCCGAAACACCGAAAATAACTGCGGTCAACGCAGCAGCGGGGCTGGTTGGAACTGTTCGAAGCTACATGAACCACGTGACTCCCGCATTCCATTCTTTCCATAGAAGTCTATTGGAGTGTCGTAACTCTCTTTCTACAGCTCTGATTATAGGGAGCCTAAGTCACGCCCATCTACTTCCGGACCACGTGTCCCAGAAGAACGAAAAAATGAATGCAAGTCAACGGGGCTAAAAAGGCCACATTCTAACTCCGCTTGTTTTGTGCCATGGATTTCACATATGATGTTTGTGAATTTTAAAGACACATTTTGATACCAAGAACGCGTTTAGTTTAGATTTTGTGTGAAAAGAAGTTCTGAACTACAAATGCGATCCATGAAAGTGACGTCATCGAACCAGACATGGAGAAAACTGAGGGAAAAGAGCTGTAAGGTCAGCAAACTTCCCACAGGAGGAAAGAACCACCATAAATCTGGTCATCTGGTAAGTAGCAGCTACACTAGGGGACAGAAGATTATGTGGTGACGTCACATATGCGGTGTGCCGATTTCTAGTTTATAGTCATGCTAATTACGAACTTTTACAAGACGATAAATCTCAAACTACGTGATTGGTGTGGTCGAAAACACTTATCATTGGTTTTCATTTAAATTGCAGCACAACATGTGTGATCCAGGGCGTAAGGCAAAGCGGGTTAGAAAATAGCGTTGTTAGCCCCGTTGACTTGCATTCATTTTTTCATTCTTCCAGGGACTCATGAGCCGACCAGAAAGAGAGGAGACTTAGGCTCCCTATAAGAATACCTGTATGTGGTTATGGTCTCAATTTGAATTTAATGAACCATTTTAACATTAAATAACAACCACACATTATTTTTAATTCCCTATTTTACAATAATGTAATTTATCCCAATACAAATAGCATTATTATTATTAGTAGGGCTGCACAATATATCGTAAATATATCGTTATCGCAATATCAGCATGCGCAATATGCATATTGCAAAGAACAGATAAATATCGTAACGAATGTTCATTGCAAATTTTTGCTAAACATAACGCATTCTGTCAGTCAAACAGAAGCATGATGTTTCTTTAACAAATCAAATAGAGATCTTCACCCATTTGGCCAATTGGGTGGGTTCTCATAGTTTAGAGGCCCGCCCCCGAGGCGGACGACACTTAATT